CCAGGCCTCCATAGTGTGAAAAATGTGGAAATTTCAGTTAAGGGTTGGACAGTTCCAGGATACCTGTACGCCAAATTTCAGCCACTTCCAGCACCTTCTACCCTAACCTTTCACGTTTTTTTTTCGACTTTTCCACCCCCGTGATCATTAGGGGATGCGCATGGCGTAAGGGGTGTCGCACGACATTCGCGCTCGAGAATGTTAAACTTCACACATGAATGCATGTCTATGTCAAATCTCGACTTCCTAGTCATAACATAATTTTATCCAGGCGTAAAAAAGCGGACCGTTAAATGTTTTGGCGAGTGTACTTCGACCCTTTCGAGATATCTTTTTTTCTTATTCTGTCCAAATATAACAGACAGTACTTTATATGTTGGATGCAGCAGTTTATCGGCCTTAACGAGTCTCCGGTGTAAATATATCATTGGTGTCTTTTCGCGCTGCATTTCATTTAAGTTTGTTGTTACTCATTTTTTCTGAAAGTAGCTTATTAGGGAATCGAGGAAATTATCATGACCCCCACTTTTAGGGATATCATCTCTTTTCCTTGCCAACACCTTAAGGAAAATATCCATTCCCTCTGCACCCTGTAGTGTGCATCACAACATGCATGTTGCTACAACAAAATGTTTGTACCTTGACTATGGCAGTGTTTTTTTTGATAATATGTTACATTTCTGAATGGCATCAGAACTGTCATCCTTCGATAAAAAGTTAGCTGCGCACATTTCCTGCATGAGGAATTTCTTAAAAGTAGTCTGCAACATTTCCACGAAGTCATATTACAACAATTCAGAGGAATCAGTAACATTTCAATGTCCCAACAATGAGCAAAGAACAATCAACAAACTAGAGTGTAGGATGAACAAATTCCACTAATTTTTACAGTACCACTGCACAAATTTTAACTTGTAATATTCTTTCGTGCCTTTATCTACTTCTTTGATGTCAAATGCTCCATCTATTGTAGTATTTAGATCTTCCTTGTTCTTACTTGAGCCCTTCTTCTTCTTCTTCTTCTTCTTCTTCTTCTTCTTCTTCTTCTTCTTCTTCTCCTTATCCTCCTGTGTTATTTTCTTGAACTCTTCTGGAAAATTAGCCTTGACATACTCTGTACATTTGTTGCTTGTATGTTTCCTGATTCCTTCTTTCAATTTTGCCTCAGTATTGCAACCCTCCTGATCATCATCCCACTCCATGGCATTTGTATGACTAGAATAGAAACAGATATTAATCAAACATACAACAAAAAGGTTTTGCCAGTTTCTTTTTTGAAGAGAAATTTAATGCTTACTGCGCATTGCTTTAAGATGCACTTCAGGTGTCTGTTTGACTTGGACAAGTGCACCGAGCTTGAGCGGAATGGGCTTTTACTCTATGA